GGCAGCTACCAGCTGCTCTGCCCCAGGCGTTCTGATTCAGCCACTGCTGGTCAGTTTCAGCAGCGGCTGAATCTGGACGCCAGTTCCGACTTACATACAGATTCAACTTAAGAACAAACCTACAGTCCCTATCTTGTACATAACCCGGGGACTGCCTGTATATACTAATTATCAATTGTGTTTTCTGGATGGAGTGCTATAAAACTTTTTGTAGGAAAATAGAACTCTGTAACCCTCTCCACCACTGTGCCTCTAAAAGAGGCACTATTTTGTTATAGTGTAGTTTACTGTGAATCCATATTCCTTGATATTTATTGATGGCTGGGATTTTTCCTCTAGTTTTGCTTAATTAAAAATTTTGGTTCCTTCCCATTATATTTTACATGAAACTGTGTAGATAATGATATCCAATGAGAATGCTGAAAATTAACACTTGTAGCAGCAAACAGGTATGTGGTCTTATGCACAGACTTGATTTTTATTTTACTTTTTTTGGTAAGACCAAATCTTGTCGTGTAGACTTTGCCAAAACAGTGTCAGTGATGTAATCTCAAAAATAAAATAAAATACATGATTCAGTGGACATAAAGTTGAACTGTCGTTTCCCCTACAAGTGATCTTTCTAGGTCAGAGCTGAGGTATGTTGGTGGAACAGTTCTGAATACTATCTCTTACACATAACCTAATAGGTTGAGATCTCCTTTTTAAGAGCACTAAATTTCCTTTTAAAGACACTTGGTTTAAATTTCTTAGCAGAAAATTATGAATTGTGAAGAAAATTATAAGAGATGTTGCAAATCATTTTTAAGGTTTCCATTATTTTAAAAATCTGTGAATGGAAAAATACTTTTCATACAAAAATTAAAATGTATGTTTATAGTGGCATATTCATTTAAGTTTTGCCTTAAGCTATAATTGTAGTAAGACACTGGCTATCTGATGTTAAAATGAGCCTTCTGGTTGAATCATATGTTACCGAATATTTTTTTTGTAGCATATTCCTTAAGGTATGCATGCAACTCATTACTGTGTAGTCTCAAGTAAAAAAAAAAAAACCTGTATATTTAGCTTAGTTAGCTCCTTCAGTGTATTACATATACTCAAATAGGTAGAATAAACCTGTTTGTTTTTTTTGAAGATGAAAGGAATGAAATATTTTCCAGAATATTAGATAATTCTGAATTTTGTGCCTGTGCTGCTCTAGAATGTATCTGTAAAGGTGTGAAATATAACTGACTTTATATTGACTAGAATAAAAAATGGAGAGATGGAAAGTATTAAGAATAGAAATGGGCTAGATTGAAATTACTCTTTTAAAAACTAGATTTCAGTATGGTACACAATTCTGACTTCATTAAGCTGCCAGGACTTGTTATTCAAATGCTAAATTTTATTATTCTGTCAGACATATGTTCACCAACCGTTTTCATTGTTTTCACACTTCAATTTTTGATTATCAGTGTAAAGATGGTCGGCCTTTACCAACAAAGGACAGACGGACCTTACATCAACTTGAAGAGAGGTTAAGGACACTTCGAAGGAGAGAGAGACATCTAGAATTTATTGAGAAAAGCTGCTGGACAAAGTTCTGCGGAGCCATGCGCCCTCTAAAAGTAAAAAGCAAAACATCTTTCATTTTATACCTTCTTCACTGTAGAATTTCTGGCATTTTCTTTGCCATTTTACTGCCCTGATGTAAGACTATTCTATGAAATAAGTCTGGTAACATTAGATATTTTTTTCCCCTTTTTTCCAAATGTCTTCTGAAAACATGATAAAATGACTTGAAGCCTCTTATGTGGCTGTTAGTACATATCAGTTTGTATGAAGCGATAGCCTGTTACTTTTAATCAGTAAATTGCTTTCTTGAAAGATATCGTGTATATATCTAACTAAAAATAGCTTACATCACTAATTGGATAAGCATGCCTTCATTATCTCTAAGGGTATTCTGATATAGAAACTAGTAGTTGTACTTAGTTTTGTGAGCCTTATATGTAGGTATTATATTGGCTAATGTGAAAATAAGACACTGTTAACAGTTAGGAGTGATTACAAAGTCAGTATTGGATTACTTAAGTAGTATTATGAACTAGTTATGGGTATAAGGTCTGATTTGAATATGTATATTATCAACTTCAAGGTCAACTCGTTGTTTAGTATATAAACATTTCTGCCTATAATAAGGGTTGTAAATACATAAATATGTGCACTATGTTAATTAATTACCAGTAATGTGTATCTCAAATTACTGATATTTAATCTTTAGACTCTTATGTTGATTAACATGAAGAAATCGTCATCAGTGTTTTTATTCAAGCATAAAGACCAGGTACATATGGAATCCCTAGCATATTAGAAACCTCCTAAATTAAGAGTTTCAGACATCAGCTGCAAAGAGAACAGTGTCCTCGCAACAAGATATTATGGCTCATGATGCCAAGAAGCAAGGAAGGAAAGAACTGAGTCAGTGCCTCCATGTTTCAGTCTTTTGTCAGTTTTCTTGCTGGATGTGTGGATTCCATTTGTCGTCTTTCCTTCTAATTATCTCTTCCCCCTAGGCCTGAAGACATCAGAAAAACAGACGTTACAACAAAGTCCCTTACTAGCCCCATATGAGAATTCCATGTATCTAGAGCCCTATCAAACGTACGGCCATACAAAATGCATCCCAGACTGTGAAATCTGGTTTCCTATTGTGAGCTTTTACTATTCTGGACAGATTTTATAGGGGAGAACAGTGTTCCTTAAATTGGGGATCCTAACCCAAAAGGGAATTGCAGAGGACTGGGGGGTGTCTCATGGAGCCCAGATATTTCAGGGGTATGGCAAAAAACTAAAATAAATTAAGACTAGAAAGGCAGTGTTTTTCCCTCCTAATGTGTCAAGCTTTCATGTCACATACCCAGACTAAGGCATCAGACAAAAGCATAACAGAGAAATGGGAACTAGATAGTCATCGAAGTTTTCTTTAATCTGTACTCCTGGAGAAAATTTTTTCAGACGTACTTGTTGGTAGGTATTTTGAAATAAAATACCAAAATAATTGTATTTTGACAAATATGCAGAATTTTAACATTATTTTTGCAGAATTTGTAATTTTGACACAGGAATAATCATAATGAGCACACCCATTTATCTCTAATACAAAATCCTCAATTGAGCTTGTATCAAACTAGAGCTATTAAAAGTCATAGAAAACTAAGAGGTCACAGTGTCAAAAATAAGAGTGAACTCTGCTGATGTCCATTTGTTGTATCTCTTAGCAAACTAAAGATATGTACTGATTTTATTGTGGAAGCCTTTTTGATAGATGGGACAGACTCAAACCATTCTACTTCGCTTTTTCTTTCTTCTAAGCGTTTTCTATAAAGTTTAGGTATAATTTGATAATATGAAGGTATCGTCTAGGGAAAATAATTTAAACATGAGTGGATTCCTTTGTTTGTCTGGATTACTTAAAGATGGAGGCTCCAAAATAGTATTTGTTTCCAGTTTAATAGATGTTACTCAGTGAAAAGAACTATTCTGTACTAAATATTTGATTTGTATTTGAGTGTGGATAAGTTAGTGATTTTAAAAATGATTTTTTATATAAATCAGATTTTTTATTAAAGTTTTTTATCCTTAAAAAGGATATCTACAGATATTTTGAGCTATAATGTATCTTAATTAAAACTATCTCATCATGGAATACGGATTATACATTTTAAGTCTACTATGGGGCAATATATTAATGTAATGATCAGGAATATTTTTGTAAATGAGTTCCAATAATTCATGGATTAGGGACCCATCTTATCTAATGGCAGCAGGTCATAAGAGACCCAGTTCAGGAATATTTTAATGAAGTTCCTCTACCCATGGGTAAGATTGGCATGCGTTCCAAATGCAAACAGTGCAGCAAAGAAATTCAAGGCCTGGTTGTCCAAATAAACAACATTATGATAAGTAGTCCTTCTCAGGAGGAAGCTGTGTTGAAGATTTTGAAAGTGATGTGTCTACAGGATCTTTAGGTTGGTAAGCTTTATTTCATATTTCTTAAGGATTGCTTGTCTTCCCTATCGACTCTTCTTGAATTCTCATGTTTAAGCCAAAAAAAGTTGTTGTTCTATGGTACTATTTACTATTTATGATACTTGATACAGTTGTGATAAAAATAAATAGATGAAATAGTAAAAGGAATATCTGCCTATTTCACTTTCAAAATAGTACTGTGTGTCAATAAAATAGTTTATTCGGCATAGGCAAAGAAGCAGGGATTTAAATAGTCCCCACTTCATTCAAATAAAAATGGCCGCCACGCTGTGCTGACGCTCAGCTGATCCAGCACAGCAGGGCAGTCTAGACGCACTGTGGTTGACAAGAGAAGCCTTTGTCAACCACTCCGGTAAACCTCATTTTCGTGCAGATATTCTCAGTACTCTGTATGAGGGTCAAACATTAACTTCTGAAGAGGAGTTGGCTTTGACACAGGCATCCAGCAATCATACCTCCATAATGCCAGCTATAATAAACTTCAGAACTAAGGGCAAACCATTCAACAGGAGAAACCTAAAGTATTGGCTTCAGCAGCTAACTCATTTTCACCTTTATTTTTCTGTTTGTTATAATCTGGAGGGGGGGGGCAACTTTGCTGCTTTTTCAGGTCCCATACGATTTTTCAATTTGGAATGGATTAGTCAAAAGGAAGAAAATATTATTTCTATACCAGCAGAGGCAACTACTGCTGTTAAAAGTACAATTATCGCTTCATCAGCTTCTGGATCTAAATGCTTAAGTGACTTCCACCAGTTCACTAAGTGTGACTTTCTTTCCAACACCATCAGCAAAGTAGGGGAAACGACAGTTCAAGGTAGGGATGCCAAAATAAATGCTTCACAAACATCCTCAAGATAAGATATGGCCCTGACACTGACAGACAACAGCCCAAGATAGGCATGACTAAACACTCATAACCCCCCCCCACACCTTTTTCCGGTGTCATATAGTAAGTGGAGTCCAACCCTGACTGCCACACCACCTGTAATGTCCATGGCTCAAGGATCAGATTCCTGAATTAGGAAAGGACTAACAAAGTAAAATCTGTGAAAGATCATTTGACACTGAAGGACCACCACCATCTGGATAAACCATTGTAAAACAGCATCTAGTTACTTAAATATCTGTAGATTTAGCAAGCATAAACTAGATTGTTTAGTAGAGGAAACTAGTAAGAGCTTTGCAATCATACTAATGAAGGTTTACAATACAGCAGAAAGACAAGTTAACAGATTTCTCCTACCCTAAGGAAACTGGACTGTTTGCCTTTTTCTTATGGTAAATCACGGTCTTCCTCCATTCCAGAACTGTTGTGTTCACATCCTGAACTGAAGGGACCGTTTACTTTGGTTTTGCTCTTAAGACCTTTGGGAGGAAATGACTATATTTGATAAATCTCTCAAGAAACCCCAGAGTGTCAGATCACAGCCAGTCTAGGATATTATCTTATTTTGGATTTTCAGGATGTTTCCCCATTAACAAATAATATTTTATACCACAGAAAATAGATTTTACAATTTATGCCTGGGGTAGGCAATAATCTAAGGGGGACCACTTCACAAATTTCAGAGTGGTTGAAGGCCACCCCAGAAGGGGCAGGGTCTGGGCGGAAGGGTGGGGTTGGGAGATAGCAAGACTCAGGGTAGGCTTGCCCTGGGGTTCCTGCCCCCTGAGTTCTGGATAATGGAAGGGGCAGAACCTGGAGCAGATTGGACAATGCTGGAGGCTGGCCTAGGATGGGGTGTTGTCTGGGGTGGAGGCTGGAAATTCACACTAAAGGGCAGGCAGAACCTGGAGCAGATTGGACAACGCTGGAGGCTAGCCTGGCAGGGGGTGTTGTCTGGGGTGGAGGCTGGAAATTCACACTAAAGGGCTTACAGTTCCAGCCCCCACTGTTAATCCGTTTCCTGGGAGCTGCAAGCCAGCATCCCTTTTAATTGCTGCTATTTAAAGGGTTCCTGGCTCACAGCTCCAGGTGATGGTGAGGAAATGCATTAGAGGTGAAGGCAGGAGTGGACATGGACTGGATTAAAGTGCTAGACAGACCAGATCCAGCCCACTGACAGCCTCTTGCCCAGCCCGGATTTAAACCCAATTTCTGAACTGTGCTCAATGGATGGTACAGAAATTAATTTCATCACACTGTCTCCAGATGTTTCGGCGGGCGCACATAAATGCTCCGGCTTGCACCATGGCGCCCATGGGCACCGTGTTGGGGGCCATTGATTTAGAAGCTTTTGGTAGTGTCCTATAGGGATATAAGCAACTAGTTGAGTAGCTGACTACCCAATAACCCTAGCCTAGGCTTACCAGGTAGTAGAGTCACTACTTGACTGTTTCACCCACCCCCTTGGTGCCTCTTAAGAACATAAGAATAGCCATATGGTCCATCCAGCCCAGTACCCTGTCTGCCAACAGTGGCCAATGCCAGGTGTCCCAGAGGAAATGAATCAAACAGGTAATGATCAAGCGATCTCTCTCCTGCCATCCATCTCCACCCTCTGACAGAGGCTAGGGACACCATTCCTTACCCATACTGGCTAATAGCCATTGCTGGACTTAACCTCCATGG